GCCACATACTGAAATATGCACAAAGAAATACAGCTAGTGCTCGACTTACGACCACAGTCGGGACCAAGGACCGGTCGTAACATGATTTGGTTGTAAGTTGAGTAGGCTATATGTACAGTTGAAATGGTGCACGCGGAGATGGTAGTGCTGCCGGAAGCTGGTCCGCACTGTCGTACGCCCAGCTGGGCAATGTTTGTGCTGCCAGACGCAGAGCAGTCGTGGCTAGTGATTGTGGTCGTTAAGTCGAATGGTCGTAAGTTGCATAGGTGGTAAGTCGATCAATACCTGTAATACAGTGTCTGGGATCTGCTCTAAAAATAATTCAGTAGAGGAGGAAGGAGTTAATGGGAGAACTAACAAAACAAGATTGGCCATATGTTGATATTTGTACAAGCTGGATGAAATGAATTCATTTTACTGTCCTCTTTACTTTCATGAATATTAAAAATTTTCTATAACAGGCTGGACACAGTGGATCATGCCTATAATCCCAGCATTCTGGGAGGCTGAGGCAGATGGACTGCTTGAGCCCAGAAGTTCGAGACCAGCTCGGCAACATGGTGAAACCCCATCTCTACCAAAAATACAAAATTAGCCAGTCTTATACCTCGGTTTCAAAATAAATAAATAAACAAAATAGATTTAAAATTTTTTAAAAATTTCTATAATAAAAGTTTTTTCAATAATAAAAGTCTTTACAACACTGAAATAGCTCTCCACTGCCCTGGGGATAAAGTTCGAATTCCTTAACATGGTGTGCCAAGAAGGCCTTTCATTATCTGTCCCCCTGCTTAGCTCTCCAGTTCATCTCTCGTTACTACCTACCTCACAGCCCAACCTTCAGGACTGACAAGCTGCTTACTCTTGTTTCCTCCAAAAAACTTGTATTCCCTTTGTCTCAAGCACTTCTCCCTCTCTGCTCACATGGCTAATCTCTACCCATCATTCAAGTCATAACAAGCCTGCTTCTTCAAGGAAAGCTTTCCTAACCCTACAACACTTAGTCAAGTAGGTCACCTATCTATCCCCTGTGCTTCCCCTATCATGGCTCTTATCCAGTATGTCCCCCAACGTATTATAGGTACCATGAGATCATGAACAATTTCCATCTTATTTGCCACTTTAACCCCATTTCCTAACACAGTGCCGGGCACACAGTAGGTATTCAGTAACTTCGATAAATTAACAAAAGGCACAAATTCCACTAACTTTCTAACCTTCCAAATCCTCACAGATCTATATGTCCCCCAATTTTCCTTCCTTTCACTTCTTCTTTGGTGATCATCTGCCACATAGACAATTGCTTGTTCACATAGTATTCCCAAATTTATACCCTTAACTCCCCCTGGCCATTTTATCTAATAAAAATTAAACTAATCAATTCTGTGCTATATTCCAACAGATCATATCCAGGCCTGACCTCATGGTTCCAAATACCTTCTGGACATAATCTCCTGTTACCTCTCACACACACGTTAATACTAGAGCTGCTCAGAAATTCTCAATATTCTCTTAATGCACCTTGTGTTCTCAAGCTTCCCAGTCTGTGCATATCCTTTCCCGTTACCTGAAATGCCCTTCTTCTCTTCTACCTTTATCCTTTTAGTCTCAGCCCAAATATCTCTCTGGCCTTTTCCAGGCAATGTTCCCACAGCACTCTGTTCTTTTTTCTATTGCAGAATTTGGCATATTGTTTTGAAATGATGTTTAGGTATCTGCTCTGCTAGACTGTGAGTTCCTACTTAGGAGAATTATCTCCCCTTTATGCTTGCACTCCTATTATATAAAGTACAATGCCTGTTATAGTCAGCCTTATATAAATGCTTGCTGGATGAATTATGGTACATTAGATTTCTAATAAATGAGAGAGAGAGCTAGAGCTGAAAAGACTGCCTAAATCTGCTTTCCTAAAGGAAATAATCAGTTTCCCTGTTTCTGTATTGGGCAGAATAAAAATATAACAAGCTCTTTTTAAAAAACTAAAGACTCACAGATTACTAAAACAAAAGAAATTATGAAACAAAAGAAAAGAATAAAGACCATTCCATCCCCTGAGACCAAGTCTGGTGAGGACACAGGCTGAAGTGAGGCTTGGGTTAATCTATTCTGTCCACAACAATCCCAACGATCCTAACCCAATCCTGAGATTATCTCAGTAACAATGCTCAGTAAGGCCAACTCTAAAGCAAGGCCACTCTAGTCAGGGTTCTCAGGACCACCCTAGAATACATTTACAACCACAGAGACAGACAACAGGCCAAGTGATTTTGGAAACAAGAAATAAAGTTATGCTATTTACTGCCTTGCTTGGAAGGCTATACAACTAATTCAGATATCCTTCCTGGAAGATGTGGCTCCAAGTTATTCCACATGCAAATCATTAACATGCACCTTCTAATCCTTCAGAATCCAAATGGACTGAAATAATGTCACATGTGTAGAATTCATTGCCAATATCCAATGTGGCTCCTACTTTCCCTTTTAAGTAAATACCTATCTTTTTCCCATCTTTACTGAACCTTCTCTAATTTGAGATTGAGTATCATTTTATTTTCACAAGATGGTACAACAATTGTCTGCTGTTTCTCTGTAAGCAAATACTTTAATACCAAAGAACTAGAAGAGAAAAAAAATCTTCTGAATAGCCATTAGTGAGAAATATGATACTTCCTTCTGCTGGCAAGGATAACGTTTTATGGAATCTAGTCACAGAAAGAAGGATAAATACCGAGGGGAAAAAGGATATTTTTTTTAAAAACCTGTATTTAGCTATTAAGACAAGGAGATATTTATCCAAGTATTCAAAAACTAAAAGGGCAACAAAGCAGAAAAAGGATATGAGAAAAGAAGAAAAAGAGTAGAAAGGAAGATTCTTTCTGGGCTAGGCATTCCCAAGAACCTCAGCTTGGGGCCTCTCCAGTATGGTCCTAGATTCAGATCCACACAAATCTGGGATTTAAAGAGTAACTTAACTGCATAGTGCCACTAATTGAAATCACTCTACCTTGAATAAGGTTCGTAGGATTTTCTGATTATCACATCTACTGAAACCCAATATTGCTTTTACTTTATCTGGGCCATGGCTTTCATAATTCCAGAGTTTTCAGGATATAATATTCAGTTGCCTCTCTTTCATGCCTACCTAAAGACAATCTTGAAGAATGTGTTTAAGACTCATTACGATTTAGTCTTTTTCCCTTTAAAAACTATGTAGAGAAAGAAAGCTGACAGCTGAAGGATGATGCAAGTAATACTTTTACTCTTGCAAGCTTGCCTTTAGTAACTCACAATTTACACTCTTCCTTCCTGTAGTGAAAGTGAAGCTTAGTAGAAAAAGTGAATAATTTGGCATCCCAGTTCCACCTCTTAGTGCTATGTGATGTTGAGTAAATTGTTTTAAAAGCCTGGAGCCTCAGATTTCAAAACTGTAACGGGATATTAAATGGAGATAATGAATAACCACGTTGCAGAGTTATTAGGAATAAAATGAATTAAAGGACACACTAAGCTAGTATATAAGCTCCAGAGAAGAGGAACAGTGAGTGTCTTTATTACTGTTCATTCTTGCTGGCATGAAAACGCACATACCAGCTCAATTATATATATATATATATATATATATAAACTTTGGTCTCTTTTCTTCTGCAAACCAGCTCAATAATATTTTTTAAATGAACAAATAAAGTGTGCCCTTTCTCTCATGAACATTAATCCTTCTTCCATAATCATATGTTTTTCTTTCTGTCTTCTATTATGTTCTAAAGCTTTCTGGGCATTATATTTTGTCCTTTTAAGTGTTTTCTTCCCTCATATCGGCTATCGTTAACTATACACCACTAAGAGAAAGTAACTTTCTAAGTAATTTATCTCCCTAATACACCCACCCTCCATAACGAATGCGATGAGGGTGGAAGGGATAGTCAAAACTTAAGGTTCAAGGCCGGGCGCGGTAGCTCAGGCCTGTAATCTCAACATTTTGGGAGGCCAAGGCGGGCGGATCACCTGAGGTCAGGAGTTCAAGACCAGCCTGGTCAACATGCTGAAACCCCGTTTCCACTAAAAGTACAAAAATTAGCTGGGTGTAGAGTGCACACCCGTGATCCCAGCTACTCGGGAGGCCGAGGTAGGAGAATCGCTTGAATCTGGGAGGGGCAGGTTGCAGTGGCCGAGAACGCACCACTGCACTACAGCCTGGGCGACAGAGCGAAACACCGTCTCCAAAAAAAAAAAAAAAAAAAAAAAAGATTCATAGCAATATATCTACTTGTCCATGGCCACCAACTTATGTTAACAGTGAAGCCCTGAGCCCAGCCCTCCGAGGAATATAATTATAAAAGGAAACTGCACTGTCCCTTCTCTCTCTGCGCTGACAAGAGACTCTAGTGTAGGAAATCCTCGGTTCTCAAAAGTTAAGGCGTCGTTTGAGCTCGCCTCCCGCTGAATAGAGGCGTGCGTCCTTTGAATGAGACACACAACTTGAACAGACCGGAGGAATTTCGGACCCCCAGGTGTTGCCCGAGGGCCTTTCGACCTGTCCCGGCTCTTCTGGCCACTCCTCCGAGGAAGCAGAGCTCTTCAATCCCCGCAGGGAAGCTAAGGGGTGCGGCCGACTACAGGGCCTTAGTGGGACAGTATAAAGTCCATGACAACATATGAAGACGGCATGAACCACACGACTGGACCTTTTAAACCATGGCTACGACCACCCTTACCCACTCACAACCGTGCCGGACCCCACCACCGCTTAAAGAAGACCCTAAAAAAGAAACTTGGCTCACCCCCCCAACCCATAAATCAGACAGCTAGTTTCTATTTATTGGCTGTGCCCCTATCTCCCTCACCCTCATTGGCTATCTGAGACGTAAAACCCTCCCCCATAAGGGAACCCTCTCGTACGGCGGCACCCCCAGACTAGCAACATCAACTCAGCCACTTAAAACCCCGGTCCCCCAGGAAACGCGGCCCCAAGGCGCCCGGAGCTGAGCCCTTCAAGGACTCACCGTGTAATAGGAGAGCAGTCCTGCATTGTAGTCCAGCACGAACCAACGGTATTGCCAGCCCTTCATCACATTAGTCCATTTGCTCAGCGGACCTTCCATGATGGACGCCATCTTAGGAGCCGCCAATGACAACAAACGGCCTGACGTCACTCGTCTATATGGCATTCAGCACGAGAGGGGCGGGGCCTCCAGGGGCGGAGCGGGTCCTGGGCGGGGTCTGGGCGGGGTCTGGGCGGGGCCAGCGGATGCTCCTCTGCGCAGACTAGCCGACCCACGCCCCCAACGATCAAGTCAAACATGCTTTCTTTGGGCGCCTATTGTGTGTTGGACTCCATGCCAGGGATGCGAGAATGCAAACCTGAATACTGCTGTTAAGATTATTTATAATCTGTCATGGTATTAAAGAAAAAAATATTATTCATGAACATATTAATAAATAATTTTACTAGCCGTGATGATACATTCTACTTTCAAAAGATTTCATATCTGATATTCATTTATGCATTCATTCCACAAATCCATTTATTTAATAAATAGTCGCTGTTTTGTGCTAGGTATTCTTCTAGGCATTGGGGATACAGCAGAGAGCCTTCATGACAGGTGAGGGGAATGGTAAAATAAGTAGTAAATTATGTCGTACATTAAAAATTCATAAATGCTATGGAGAAAAACATAAGCAAGGAAGGAGAGAGCGTTGGGCCTGCTATTTTAAATTCCCAAATGGAAAGCCTGAACGAGAAGGTAACTTTTAAGCAAAGAACTGAAGAAAGTGAAGGAGGGAGCCTGGTGGAAGAGCCTTCCAAGAAGAAGGAATAGCCAATGCAAAGACCAGATGTTAGGAATGAGCGTGGCATCTTGAGGCATCAGCAAGGAGGTCAGTGTAGGTGGAGCCGTGAACCAGGGAGGAAGAGGTGAGAAACAAGGTCAGAGAAGTAGGATTAGATCACTAACAGCCTAAAAGGGCAATTTAAGTATTTATTGGTCAGTCGTGATAGCTGGCACCTGTAATCTCAGCACTTTGGGTGGCCAAGGCAGGCAGATCACTTGAAGTCAGGAGTTTGAGACCAGCCTGGCCAACATGGTGAAACCCCATCTCTACTAAAAATACAAAAATTATCCGGGCGTGGTGGTGCATCCTGTAGTGCTAGCTGAGGCACAAGAATCGCCTGAACCCAGAAGGCAGAGGTTGCAGTGAGCCAAGATTGCATCACTGCACTCCAGCCTGGGTGACAGAGTCAAATTCCATCTCAAAAAAAAAAAAAAAAATGAGTTATTGACCACCAACAATATCTATGCACTGTTGGAGGTCCTGGGAATACAGCAGTGAATAAGCTCTCTCAGTGCTTAAATTCTGTGATGAAAGCAAACACTAAACAAACAAGAAAAATATCCAATACTAATTAACACTGCAGATAATTTAATAAATTACTGTAATAGGAAGCCAAAGGGTAGCTAATTTATAGTGGGTGGTCAGGGCAGGCCTCTTAGGAAGTGGCTTTAAACTTAGATATGGAGGATAAGAAACAGCCAGCCAAGAGAAAGAGCTGAAAAGGAAACTAAAAGGTAAGGCACTAGCTGGAAATGGAGGTGAGGTCAAGAGAAGGGTTTTCTTTGTCCTTTTTAAAAATTATTATTTAGATTGAAGACACTAGAGAATATTATTTTGCTGATTTTCAGGAGAGGGAAAAACTGGGGGGACATCCTAGAGAAAGGAGAGAATAGCAGCAGTGAAGCCCTTCCTCAGATTGAGACCTCTTTTTGTGTTGGCAAAACACTGGAATGAAATACAAAAAAGAAAGAAAGGAAAAGTCAGACCCTAAGCCCAAATGCAAGGGTTAACTTTTGATAGGAGCAGAGATGGTTCATCCAAAGTAAGAAGGAAGAGCAGAGAGTATGGGTTCAGATGCCAGTGGGTCAATGAATGAGTTTGTTTTCTTTTTTCTTTCTTTCTTTCTTTTTTTTTTTTGAGAGAGAGTTTCACTCCTGTGGGCCAGGCTGGAGAGCAGTGACACGATCTCAGCTTACTGGAACCTCCACCTCCTGGGTTCACGTGATTCTCCTGCCTCAGCCTCTCAAGTAGCTGGGAGTTCAGGTGCTCACCACCATGCCCAGCTAACTTTTGTATTTTTAGTAGAGAAGGGGTTTCACCATGTTGGCCAGACTGGTCTCGAACTCCTGACCTCAGATGATCCATCCGCCTCAGCCTCCCAAAGTGTTGGGATTACAGGTGTGAGCCACTGCATGAGGCCAGGTTTCTGTTTCTAGTAGAGGAAAGGCTCAAAGCTTAGTAGTTAAGAATGTGGATTCTGGTGCCATAGTACCAGGGTTTTAATAGCCAGATTCATCACTATATGGTCTTAGGCAAGTTTGCTAACTTCTCAATGCCTTGGTTTCCCCTTCTTTAAAATGTGGATTACAAGACTAGCTGTTTCCAAAGGTTGTTGTGAGGATTAAGTGAGCTCTTATGGGTAGAGAGCTTAGAGCAGAGCCTGGTAGGTAGTAAGCACTCAATTAATATTAGCTCTTATTCTGCAGTTATACAGGGAGCAGGGGAAATACATACATAAATAAACATATATGGCCGGGCGCGGTGGCTCAAGCCTGTAATCCCAGCACTTTGGGAGGCCGAGGTGGGTGGATCACGAGGTCAAGAGATCGAGACCATCCCGGTCAACATGGTGAAACCCCGTCTCTACTAAAAATACAAAAAATTAGCTGGGCATGGTGGTGCGTGCCTGTAATCCCAGCTACTCAGGAGGCTGAGGCAGGAGAATTGCCTGAACCCAGGAGGCGGAGGTTGCGGTGAGCCGAGATCGCGCCATTGCACTCCAGCCTGGGTAACAAGAGTGAAACTCCGTCTCAAAAATAAATAAATAAACATATATATATATATATATATATATATATATAAGAACTATATATGTATAATTCTTATATATGTAAAAATATATATAAGAACTATACATATAAGAAATAACATAAATATATATATATTTATTTGTGTATCCTAAGAACTATATATATATTCCCAAAGAAATGTGAGGTGGGCCAGGCTTGGTGGTTGACACATGTAATCCCAGTGTTTTCGGAGGCTGAGGTGGGAGAATCGCTTGAGGCCAGGAGTTTGGGACCAGTCTGGGCAATATAGCGGGACCCCATCTCTACAAAAAAATAACATTTTGAATTTAAAAAATTAGTTGGCTGCGGTGGCACACATCTGTAGTCCTACCTACTCAGGAAGCTGAGGCAGGAGGACTGCTTGAGCTCAGGAGTTCAAGGCTGCAGTGAGCCAAGATCACGCCACTGCACTCCAGCCTGGGTTGGTTGTCAGAGTGAGACCCTGTCTATGCAAGAAATTTTCAAAAGAAGTAAATAAGAATATATCTGAAAGGGATAGCAGCCAAAAATTAGTGTCCTGTTTCTCCTTTCCTTTCTTTTCCTTGGGATAGCTTCTTTTCTATAGATTACAATTTAATAAAGATTTCTGAGAATAGGGCAGATGTTTGGATTCTTCAAGAAAGCCAGGCCAGGCGCAGTGGCTCATGCCTGTAATCCCAGAACTTTGGGAAGCCAAGATGGGAGGATCGCTTGAGCCCAGGTTACAGACCAGCCTGGACAACAAAGTGAAACTCCTGGGCAACAAAGAACAGCCTGGACAACAAAGTGAGACCTTGTCTCTATCGAAAATTTAAAAATTAGTGAGGTCATGGTGGTATACACCTGTAGTCCTAGCTACTTGTGGGGCTGAGGCAGGAGGATCGCTTGAGCCCAGGAGGTCAAGGATACAGTGAGCAGAGATCGCACCACTGCATTCCAGCCTAGGCAAGGCAACGGTTCAAGACCTATCTCAAAAAAAAAAGAAGAAGAAAGAAAGAAAACAAAAGGAAAGGAGAGATGGGGAAAGCAGAGGAGAGGGGAGGGAAGGAGGCCAAAGATTAAGAAATATAGTACCTATTCAGGAGCTAACCAGGACATGAAACATGCATGCAACTGACTGTAGTACAAAGCCATTTCTCTTTCCTTTTGGATATATTTTTGTCTCATTAATTCCACCACTTATTATTTACCCTATGCCAGGGACTGTGCCAGGAATATTATATACCTTATCACATTTAACAATCACAATAACCCTGTGAGTATTTTAATCTTCACATTTTACAAATAAGGAAACTGAGATTCAAAGAAATGAACAAACTTACCCAGCTACCTAAGAGTTTAAATTAGTGAATTAACAAGCATCTGAGTCCATATAAACACCTATCTGTCTTTTCGTCATGCTACATGGCCTCCTCAAAGCACACTATACGCTTCCGATCGAAACTTGATGTTCCAGACTAATCAGCAGAAAGGCTCATGTTGCTGATGTCTTTTGGGATAAGCAAAGTGTGGGGATCTTGAAGCATCATGACTCAGATTAAGTTAAAAAATTTACATAGTGTTCATTAGCACCTTACATTAGCTTCTTAACCAGGTCTTATCTTTGCAGCCCTGGAAACTAGCCCAGTTCTTGTAACACAGAAGGTGCTTAATAATTATTGTTTGATCTGAATGGTATGTTCCATTGAAATAATTATTGTTTGAACTGAATCTGTGTTCCATTGAAACTGACCAAAAAGTTTCAAAGATTGTGCTAAACTCCATCTCTTACATTTTCTCCTTTATTCCCCTCAACAATCCTTCAAGATTTGTCCTGTTACACCCATTTTACAGATAAGGACACTGTGACACAGAGTTATTTAGTGGCTTGCCCAAGCTCACACAACTAGTAAACAGCAGAACCAGAATTAGAATCTAGATCTTTTCATGCCAGATCCATTTCACCCCAGCAGCAAGCTATATTTGCATTGTCTATGTGTAAATGTCTTCATTGCTTCTTGGACTTTTGGCAAAGATTAAGTGTAGTAAATAAATATCTTGGACATGACACAGCCAGCATCATCAACTTCTAAATCAGTTTTAACTTTCATCAGGGTCACCAGGCATCAGCAGGCTCTACTTAGCTTCAAATGTCAAAACACAGGTCATCAGGGAGAGCCAGAAGCAAGTGCAATTTTTGACTCCTAAGACCATGTCCAATTCCACAGCACTTTTTCTACATTCTGCACAAAGTGTCAAACTACATGCTTTAGATAATTAGC